CAGCAGCAGCAGCAGCAGCATTATTAGCGGCGGCAATCGAAAGTAGTAATCAGTATTCTTGCACTCGCTACTCTTATTGCCATGAGTAGTATCATGACCTAGGTCACTTGTATATGTACGTCGCAAACTCGAACGTTTGATTCGAGCTAATTTGGAGGCAGGAGACACCATGTTACTCCAAAGCCTCTAGCTCCTGCCTCACGCAAGATCTCCGACAGGGGTGGATCCAGCTGTCGGTCCTCAGACTTGCAATCTGCATGAGGATGATCTTACTACTATACGTTGTCTTGAACATCAGCTTCGCAAACTCATCTCACCCTTCATTCTCGAAAAACCGTGGGATGCCTCAGAAACAACTCCAGTCAATTCTGAAGCAGGCAGCCCGAGCCACCTTCCTCCTGTTGCGATACATGCCGATAACTCTATTCAGACTTGATCGGAGTGGTGTGGTATAGCCGCAGACGCAGTACCCCCACCCACTATCCAGGCCCGGGGCTTGCGGCAGCGGCCAGTCCATTGTCTTCGGGTCCCAGCCTTGCTGCCGTTTTGAAACAGGACCTGTTTTGCAGCTGGGCCCTGGGTTCTTCATGGAGTCATAGAGCCTCGAAGGTTTGAAGCCGATGGTCAAAGCTTCCCAAACAGCCGTTTCGGGCTTTTTTGGGTTTTGGGTTCGGCACCGCTGCGCGCAGGATGAACAGCCAGCGCACCAAATCCCCGAAGGGACAAGGAGAAGGCCGGAACCGACTTGCCCAGCTTACACCCCAGAGCTGCAGGGTTTAGGGTTTAGGGTTTATGGTTGTTCCTGAAACACCTTCGAAGCCTTTGTATCCTCGTAGCCTCGTAGTAGGGAAAAACAAGTTAAGAAAGCCCGAACAACCCAGAAAATTGCAGGGTCTTGGACGAGTGCTGGGCTCATGGCTTGTCTCTTTAAGCTTCGTCTCCTTCTTGTTCCACGCTCGGGAACGCGAGTATGACAGAGGCGGCGTCAGACCATAGATATACTCCTGGCCAAGGTTCCCAGCTCAGGGACACCATCTCTCACTCTCTCGCTCCCTCTCCTTCTCTGGCATGGGGGACGGGTGAGATCCCGGAGCTCCAGCCATCCCAAAGCTTAAACCCTCAAATGCCCTAAACCTCCACTCCAAGAAACGCAAGAGTGCAAAGTGCCATCGAGCTGCAGCCATAGCGCGGTTCGCCTGTCCAATGAAGGCCTTGGCCTCTGCATGGGAGGCGGAAATTTCATGCTCGGGAGCCGGGGACTTGCCGCTGGGTTTACCCTCCGGGCATCTTCTAGCTCTCTCTGAGCGGTTAAGAGCCCCCAAGTGCACAGGATGCCTGGGGATCGGCGCACTCCTCTGGCTCGTCCGTCTGGAGGCGGTCCTCGGGGCTTACATGGGACCTTCTACGTGCTGTCATCGCCATCGCACGACGGTCCTCCTGCTCCTGCTCGTCCTCCAGCAAAGAGCCCCTTCCACCCTTGCCTGCAGGCGCTTTCTGGCTGGAGCTTCACATGTCTGCGCTAAGCAAACCAATGAGACAGTGCTACAGGAATGGATTAGACAAAGACAGCTCACCCGCCCGGTGTGCCAGCTCATCTAAGTATGAAGCCCTAATCACTGACTGGTGCCAACGGTCGACTCAAGCCCGCGAAATGAATTTTACCTGCTAGCACCACATCCACAAACGACCTCTCTTCGGTGTGGGCGCTGCTTCTTCTTCTGCTTCTTGTTCTTCTTCCGCAGCCGCGTTCTACAAAAGAAGGGCGAGGGGTTTAAACGTTGCTTCGTAGGCGTATGGCTCAGGATCCAGGATTCGTGCATTTTCAAACAGTCATGCGCAGTGACAACGCTGGCAAGAGGTAGATGCCCGAACAGTTAAAGAGAACGTGACATGCACACCCCGAAGATACCATGACCAAGACAACCACGAGGCAAGACAACCAGCGCAACCACGCTTGCCTGACCACCTCCCAGGACCATGACCACGACGACCACGAGCACCAGGACGGCGAAAAACGAAATTCAGGGAACCACGGAGCTGGAGGCAGGACGGAAGGCACCACCGTCAAAGACGTTCCCCACATGCTGGCGGGGATCTGGTACCACAATGATTGTGGCAAGATCTAGAATGGACAAAACGTAGACCCAGCTAGGACCGAATACGACTCAGGGTATGCTGCCTGGCATTAAGCCATGTTTGCATGAGCATAAAGAACAGCGAACTAAACCTGTCTCGAAACCTAATAAACCTAGACGTGGCAGGGGTGCATGGCAAAACCGGCACACATCTCGCTGCTGGGATATCAACAACCAGAAGCACTGACATGTCAATATTTCTATATATAACGTATCGTCAATGTATCGGGTTGCAGCAACGATCTCGTCATGAAACGGGGCAGGGCGAAGACTTATGGCAATTTCGGAGTGAGACTGCACAAGCATGTCAAGAGCAGCTTGTGCTGTCAATGCCCTGCTGATTCTGACGGTGGTTGCCATTCTGCAGTCGTCATATTCTTTTTCTGCAAGCCACACGTCCTCATGTCCAACCACGAATGCATTGAAGGAGGTTGTGCTGCTGCGCTGCTGCACGGATTGCTTGATGCTTTGGCCACGGCGGCATGTTGACAGGAAGCACGATCTTGGAAATGAACATCGATGCTGAGAGAGCAAACGATGCAATGACAACGACGACAACCAGCAATAGCAGCAGCAGTTCTCATTGTCTTTGCAATCGCCATCACGGGCTTCGGGTTCGAGTCTCGATTTCGATTTTAACCGCACGCGTACTCGCAGAGCACTCGCGACTTTCACATACCACCGTGACGATCTCCTCGACAGCGTAAGGCAGATCGACCGTGCAAGGTCCTCCAGATTGGTCGCTGCGATGGCCAGACATTCCTCCTTCTCCTGCGCCGGGACATGGGATCCTACAGGGAGGTCATCCTATGCAAAGCTGGGGTTCTCCAGCAGCCTCATGACAAAAGAACCATCTCAAACCATCCACGCCACAAATCACCTCAGCACCACCCCCCACTCCCAATTGATAACCCCCAACCGAACTCCAAACCAAGTGTTGAAAGAAATCCAGAACCAAGTCTGCGACCCTGTCAAAAAATCATTTTTAGGGGCTTAACCCTGATTGCCTGCGAATAGGATAAGTGTGGGCTTGCTTCACGCTTCACGTCTTACTGTCTAATGTCCGTGCATCTGCAACTTCAACGGACAGTCTTCCCTTCCTTCCATAAGCTATCGATATACATCTGTTTTCGATATATGGTATACCGTGTAACGCGCTCATAATGTTAGTCTTGAGAGTCTTCAACAGTCCACGTCTTTGTTTGTCTTCCATAATTCCCATCTGTTTTGTGTTCCGAAATTTCTGCAGTGTTCTACATGTACCAGCTCCGTTTCCCGTCTTCCAGCTTGCGGAGTCTCAATGCTTACTTAGTAGCACACTGTTGCTGTGACCCAAGACGTCTGTGCAGTCAGATAGATTTGAACAGGGTCCTATTCATGCATGCTAGTGCTCAAAGAACAGCTGTACAAGCACTGCGAATTTAGGACAGAAAACATGCGAAGATCAACACGGATGCCTGTATGCGGGTCTTAAGACACGTATGTTTCACACCCGTACAGCACACTGTTTATAAACGCACCCTTTAGCTACATACAAGTTGTAAGCCTATGCGAACTCTCGCTGTCAACGTGCTTGCGGTTGCTAGCTACTTCACCAGCATAGTTAATCAATTTATCAAACAACTCTACCTTCTCCGAAATCTTCTGACGACGAGAACGCTGTCCATCTCTTACTGCATAAAGGTCGTATTATCAAAGGTTGCAATGCATGCCGAATAAAATGTGCATTTTGCAGGCTACATTGTTTCATCTGCTTCTGTCTTCAGTCAAGCTATCCCAGGATCGCCAACATCACATAGCTGGTTACAGTGCGTGAAGGGTTGCACTGGTGCGAAAGGTATGGCTTCTACCTGTTGTGTGCAATTAGGGGAACATGAACTATCTTTTGTTCCCTACTTACTAAGGCACTTGCCACTGTCGTAACACGACACCACGATATCATCTACATATGGTGGTAAAAATGCATCGTCTCTAGACTAAACATTACAAAATGCAATCCTTCGCCGTTCAACTGAACTAAGTAAACGTCTGTGCTGCGATTGAATGCTCTGGCGATTCTTCCCAGTTTCTTGCAACTTCAATGTGAAAGGAGAGATGATCGCTGTACCGCCCGTAGCGCCGTAGTGAGCATATCTACCCCGGCCAATCAAGAATAGAAACATTCCATGTGCTCCAAATGTAACCTAATGATGACAGAGAGCATGACCTTAATCCATCCGACTCGAACGGCCAGGATTATCTCAGACTAACGTGTCCTGAATTAAACTAGGCCCGAGTGGTTCAGCAAAAGGAACACCACGAGCAGTACCGTCAACGAGGGCTGCCTTTGAGCGTATTTAACTATATTTGGTCGTTTGAAGCTCTCTTCAGATAGTGCTGGTTTTTATAGGGGCTTCTAGCAGATGCAATCAGATCCCTTCTCAAGCACCGGCGCTGTGCCTTCAGGGAGTGATAGCCGAACAAGTCTTCAGCAAGATGACTATAAACCCCGTAGAAGGGCCCGTACCTTGGCAACAAGGTAGAAGCCTCAGGCCCAAGCTATCCGTGACTAAAGTTGATTCGAGCTGATGATTCCAACTCTTCACTCAACCCAGCCTGCCAGCGCTTTCAGTGAAAGCTTAAACTTAAACGTGGCAACGAGCATCAAGCGAGGTCTCCCTATGCAGGAGTTGCAAGGAACTCTTCAATAGGCCTGGAGCGTCCTGAATCTGAAACACGAGCTTGCGAGCCTCTTTTGCGGGTGACATTTCCGCGATCGGGCTGCAACATGCGACGAAGTCTTCGAGGGACCGACCCTGTGCACTTCAGCCCCAAATCCGCCCCAAATACCGCCCCAAATCACCGCAAGGCTTAAGCCGCTCCAAGCTGCAGCCTGCAGGAACGGTCGCTGATGCCCTGTGCCGAGCACATTTGGTTCAGGAAGTCCTCAGAAGGGGCGCTTCGAGAGTTCCCGTTGTCTCCATCTTGGGACCTTGCACTTTCAGGAACAACTGGGGTTAGACCACTGGGGTTTTAATCACCCCACCCTGAAGAGCGGAACCAACTCCACGAAAACATGTCTAGCAAATAGTCGGCGACAATCTTCTGTGAATCGCTACCTACTCATAGAGAAACTTCAGGGTTTCAGGAAGGGCAGGTCTCGGTTTGAAGATCACAGCCCGGAGCAAAACAGTCTCCTGACAACTCCTCCGAATTGCAGGAGAACTGACGTACGCTACGCCTTCGAGTTCCGCACTTTGCACGGCAAGCTAGAACTTGCTTGCAAGTCCCCCAAAACCAGCAATTAAGCTGGACCTTGAACCCAATCCTTGAAACATAAACCCTGAGAGCCCTCAGCCGAACATCACGAGGCCCCCCCATACCCCAAAGCAGCGACGCGTCCGTCAGCTCGGGCTCATCTTCGTCGCCAACGCTGAGGCAGCCCTCCGTGACTACCCGGCTTACGGGTGGCTCCACCTGGCTTTACTGTCGCACACTTGGACAGATTCTCCGATACTCCGCTGGGTCCACTGTACTGGAACAAACCTCCTGTCCATGATGTGCTACCGCTTTGAGTGTTGACTGGCAAGTCTTCACATGGACACACTACTGGATACTCGCTTATGCTACCCATAGAACACTACAGCATACTCTAGTTACTAGTAGCTTAAAGTGCGCTACTGTGGCCTGCTCGGCAACGGTTCGGAACTACTTCTGCTGCTTGGCAACTGCGGCGAGATTCAGTGATCGATACTAGTTTGTGCAAGATGGTCGTACTATGCGTGCTTGTAGTATGGCCGTGCTGATGCTTCTGCTTGCCGCGCAAGCTCGAACCGAATCACAGTCTACCGCTACATGCATAATACGCTGCAGCCATCTTAGCCAGTAGCGGATCCCCCGAATCCGCTACAAAAACACACAGCGAGCCTTAATTGTCAACTAGCCCTTTGCACCCAAAGCCCCGAGCGACATGCCCCGTGGCCTGCCAGCCTGGAGTCTCGAAACCTACACCAAAGGTGCTACACCCTTATCCCACCCCCGGGGGTCCTGAACCTGAGCTCCCGGCTTTGACGCGACTTTTGCCACACCCCATGTAGCGCACCACCCTGTTCCTCAGGCTCGCTTCGGTCGCAAAGACCCAAAGGATAAGATGCAGAGAGTGCTGGTGCGAAATCCGTCGCCATGATAGAGGTGGCAGCAGAACCAACCACCTCAACCACAACCACTAACACAACAACTAGAACGACGATGGGAACGACGACAACGGTTTGGGGTTTAGAGTTTAGGGTTTAGGGTTTTCAGCATCAGCAACAACAGCAGCAGCAGCAACTACAACAACCACGGTAACCACAACAACCACAACAAGAACAGCAGCGACTATCACAACCACAACAGCCACAATAAGCGCAACAACAACGACAACACTAGCAGGACGTAGCAGGAGCATTCAGACGACATGCGCCCCTGATGACAATAGTCCTGACTATCGTTCCAACCTAATCATCACTATCATTGTGAGCTACGTCATCAGCACCACAGGCATGCTGTAACATTGGCTACATCAAGCAACAGTAATGGGAACAGCAATCACGTAACTTTGAGCTGATGTTAACCAGTCGATAACAATAAATGTTTGAACCAACGCATCATCACCACAACTGCCAACACCAAATCATGATGATGATCGCCTTCAACAGTCTTATCCCTCTCCTCCTCATCATCATCACCAGGTGTCGGGAGAGCTTGTTGCTTTGCATCTACGCACTCCACTTCACAGCGAACACCACCATCATCAAAGCAGATGTATCAGCAAAACGAAGGAGAACAGCAGCAATGACAATGCCAATCATAGCAGCGACAAATATGGCAAGTATGTGCTCCATGCCGGCTGATCGATATGAGTGTGAGCAGAGGCGGCGAAACAAACAAGCAGAACCCGTGGTACCAAACCAAAAGCATGCACAACCCGATCAACGACGCCGAGGCTCCGAAACACAACTGGAGCACAACGCGCAAATCAAAGGAGTCATGTGAACAAAGCCCTTACAACGAAAGCTGAACGTAGGGTTCGAGGCATCAGGCCTGAATTCACTGAAGCCCCATGCTGCTTTGGAGCCGATCTTGACCTCCATACTTTTGATGCGCTTCGTCTGATCGGGCGCAGGCCCTGGGATTTTCTCAAATAGATCAACCCCTGCGAGGTTTGCGGGCACAATATGACAGCCACAGTCGTAAGCACGGCAATGCAGCAATAACATGCAAGAACGCTGGGCCATAATCTTGGAATAGGTGCTGGAGCAGCCCAACAACCAAGATAAACCGTTCGTACTAAAGTGTGGTCCAATTCGACAAACACCTTGATTGATGTGTGGAGAGCACGGTCAAAATAGGCCAACAGGCCTTGCCACTCGGATTTGAGGTTCGGCGTCTGCGAGCAGACCTTGCAGCCCCACGCACACAATGCAGGCCAGCGACATCACCGCCGAAGGGAACTCATCTTCCATGTAGGGGATGGCATCCTTGCAGACCTTCCACTGGTCCTGCAAGCCGGAACAAGCCTCCACGAATCTTGCCGAAGCTCTGTGGGCTCGAGTTGAAACGAGCAGGAGCCTGTCGAAGGGGCCGCGATTCTCAGGAGGTTGCAGGAAGGACTGCAAGCAGTGAGGCCCATCAACCGGGATTTCCCTAGCATGGGGCGGGGCATGGCGGGGCCTTGAGTAGCACCTGATGCACAAAGGCTGCCAGCCGATATTCGCGAGCAAAAGCATGAGGCCGGCTCGTGATCCCCGGATTGCAAGGGCTGGCAGGCTGACATACGTGAATGAAGAGGGTAATTGCGCACAGCAGTGCGAATAGATGGCTACTAGTAGCGGCACATATTGCAGTGGAAATAGAAACAACCCTTCATGCAAGAAACACGCTCCAGTCCTGATGCTGCCTGGTCATGAAAGACTTTGAGTCGTACTCCGGTGGAACTTCGATCTCAGATGGATGAACTCCAGCAGCGAAAGTCAGACTTGAGAGCAGCGACGCGACACCGGAGGCTTCCGACAAACTTCCCAAAAAAAACAACAGGACAGGCAAAAGCAAAAGCAAGGCATCTGAAGCGAAGGACTTCGAGCGTCTCTGAGGTCCTTAACTGAAAGCGTTCTCCTCCGGTTTCCAAGACTTCCGACCTCTCAAAAGCCGCGAGGCCCGGCACTGGGTAGTGACCTTCACAATGACGCGCACGGCTCCCATCGCTTCCTTCCACGCGGAGCTTTGAACTCAGGGCCGTCAGGGCGTTGGGCGGGCTAAACACCTGGTTTGGGGAGATTGTGCAGGTCTGACAGCTCCGGTTGACAGGTGGACTGGATTTTGGGCGTCAATCGTTTCATTCGACGCAGGGCTTGAAGCCGAAGCGTTGCACTGTGGAAGGCATCCCTGGTCACCCCTTAGCCATGATCATGAAACCTCTAGCACGGGAATTAAGCAGAGGCCTGCCACATGTGCCAAAGGTGGTGTGGATCGCCGACCATACCACCTCCCTCCTCCACCTGAAGCTTCGGCGAGCTGGGTTGCAGCGATCGGTTCTTGATCACTCGAGGCTCAGCGATGAGGAGCTCTGGCTTGCAGGCTCAGGTGGGAGCTGACTCCAGGCGACTGGCTGCCAGGATGGCGACAGTGCTAAGGCTGTCTGAATTCCACTCTGCTCTCCCTCTGCAAATCGAGGGGCGCCCTTGACCTTGCCAAGGAATTTCCGCATGCCGAAGCACAAATCGCCTCGGCTTCGCAGCTTCGTCGTGTCTGAATTGGTCTACTACTAGCTACTGGACTCCTGTATTTGTTGCGCGGGCTTGTGCTATGTAGTATGTTTTGCTGTATGGAAGATGTCGACGGTTCAGTTGGCTGTGCTACTGGGACCTCGTTGAGAGGGCTATCTTTCCTGCATTTGCGGAATGCTAGACGCAAAAGTTGTGAACAACCACAGTATTTGCGACACACTCTCATCCGGCATCGCACCAAGCACAAACCCGGAATCTTGCCGAAGCCAGAAAAAGACCACAAGGATGCAACAGAAGCAGCAGGGAAAAAAGCTCCACACAAAAAGCTTGCAAAACCTGACCAACAAAGCGGGGGGGGGGGGGGGGGGGGNNCGTGCATCTAAACCAAAGCATACCAACAAAAGCAACCTCGACGCCTGGGTTTGAACCGCGCACCTTGTGCTTATTCTTATGATTATTGTCATTCCTTCCCCTCTTCTTATTGTTGGTGGTTGTGGCCTTATGGTGTGGTTGTATGTGGTTGTTATAGTCATTGTAGTCGTTGTGGTTGTTGCGGTCGTCGTGGTTGTTGAGATCGTTTTTGTCATTCTTAAGGTTGTCGTGCTTGTTGTGGTTGTTGTTCTATCTGCGCTTGCATACGTTCGGAGTGCACAGCCCTGGCAGGCGGTCTTAGACACCGACAGGCACGCTGACACTGCTTCTGAAACCAGGCTGAGGAGCCCTCGATTTGCTCGAGAGCCTTTTGCCGCTTGGCACTCCTCTGGCGGTGCCTGCGAGGGCTTGCGAAAAGAATCCGGGGCTCTGAGTCTCGGAATCCTCGAGGTGCAAGTTCCCCAGGAACCCACGAAGGATCCTACGACTTCCTTGAATCCGAGCGTAATGGAGGACAACTCTTCAGTGTAAGAATATGATGACACATAGGCAAAATGGAAATGGTGCCTACTAACTAAAAGCCTTGTGCAGCGGTGACACACGCACACACGTGCGTGCGCTCCTGGGGCTGCTTGGCGGGATGTGCAGACGTCCACCTTGTAACCTGGGGACCTGTGGCTCCTGCCACCCTTCCCTTGAATACCAGCATCCATCATACAGGGCTGCTAGACCGTAAGCAGTGACGACAGCATGACACATCACATGCACGGGATCACACGACGAGGTTGGCACGACAACAAGAGCCATGAAGGCATCAACACACGAGCAGAATCGGGCTAGGAGTGTCAGTCTCATGCATCCCTGCTGCCATTGGAACAGGCTAGCACCGCATCTGCTGTATCTGATTCCCTGAAAGCCTGAAGCCATAACCCATGATTCCTGAGAGTCTGCTGAGGCACTTCATGCCGGCAAGTCCGAGTTGTTGGAAGTCTTCATACCTTCGCATCCAGGTCGGGTGCAGTTGGAGCAAATTGATTTTCCTGCAGACAGCTGCTTTGCATGCCAATGATGGAGCCTAAGAGGCCCTTAGGAGCTTGATTCACTGTTGCGTTCGGCTTGTATCTTGGACAGCCCGCCGAATTCTATGGTTTTATGGACTTCGGGGGGCTGTCCAAGAAGGTCGCAGACCAAGGCACAACTGCGTCAACGTTCTCATCTTCTGCCGGATTTTCAAGGCGACAAGCCATCTTCGCGTTATCTTCCATTGGCTACCCCTGCGTAACTGTTTAGTTCTGGTTCAGAGGACCAAACAGCAATTTATCCCCATGGCCAGGGCACTCGGCTTTCAGCAGCTGCGCCGTCGTGAAGCCCACCTCGGCTTGAAAAAGCACCCTCCCTTGCGTTTGCGTTTGCGCGGCTCCGAGTCTCCGCTCCTGCTCCGAGATGTTTTTCAAGTGCAGGCCGACGGTCCAAGAGAGAAGAGGGACTGGGACTGGGCTGGGACTGGGCCCCCGTCTCGTCACGACTCTCGCCACTCTCTCTGGAACCCTCTAAGAGGGTCGTGATGAAGGACTTGTCGCTGTTCAGGTGGGCCAGAGAAGGAAAATTGTCAGCGACCTCGGGGCACGCCCGGCAGCGGAACGCCTCTTCTTTCGGTCGGGAGGAGGCTTCTTTGCTTCTTTGGGCTCCCGACGTTCTGCCGGAACTTGGAGAGGATCGACGAGAAGTCCTGGAGCAGAGCTCTACCAGTAGCTGCGAGGAGATTCTGAGGTCTCGCCGGATTCATGCGCTGAAGAGCGTAGTCAGGTTGCCCTTTATTCTCCAGATGTGCAGGCAGCCCCCCCTCTCTGCGAATTGACTTCTGGCATCCTTGGACAAGGAAGCAGAGTCTCTTGTGTTTCAGTCCTCCCAGAGAAGGCGTCTTGAAAGCACGGTCATCAGCATCACACCCTCATAGACCTGACAGAGTGCATCCTCAGAGGCCTAGGCACTCAACTTCCCAAGACTCGGAGTCTCAAGATCTCCATGCGCGACAAGAGGCGGGCTTGAACTTCAGGTAAGTCCTCAGCAAGCCAGGGGCCACGAGGTGTCACACACTGAGCCTGAGGGGTCGGTGCTTAAAGGCTTTAGGGGTCCGAACACAGTACCAGGCAAACCCCTCGTGCAGCGTCTAAGGAATGTGCTTGTTCTTCCTGTTCTGTGGGCTCGGGTATGAAGAAAACCCCACGACTGAAACCGCAGACCCACACCGCGGCGCGTTGACCAGAAGGCCTTTGCCACCTCTGCCACATGCAGCAGCATCCCTAGGCGCCGTCGCGCATACGGTCACGATGACTGAGCTGATGAAACCACAACACGGCAGCTACGACTACGACCGCTGCCGACGACAACAACGACAAAACAACAGTGGTGGTCATTGCGGCGGTGGTGCATGGCGGCGGCGCAGTGGTTGGTGGGGGTCGAGGTGGGAGGGTGGGAATGGGAGGCTGAGCCGTGGCGGCCGCGGCTGCCTTTGTGGCTGTGACGCACTGGTTGCCGTGGTAGTGGTCTGGTGGTAGTCGTCGCATGTCGTCGCTGTCGTCGCAACAACAGTAGTGCGCAGTACACATTAATGCTGCAGGTACAAGTCGACACATTGACGAGCACGGGAGGAAGCAGGACAACCGCAGTAATGGCCTCAGAGACAGCGCGAGTAAAATGCCAGAAATTAGGTTGGAAGTCACGGAGGCACATCTGCATCGAGCGGCTCTTCGAGGAAGCACTTCTCCGTGATCCTGGGCAACCCGCGATGCGGCAGTAGCCCCAACTTAGATCCGAAACCTGGAGAGGCGCAACAGCCTTGACACTGAGATTGCCTTCAGCCCGGCAGGCTTGCAGATCAGATTGAACACCATCGGAAGAAGCTCCTGAACCATCGCAGCCTCCGGGAAAGCCCCGAATCCCGGAGCTCGACAGGTGTCGTCTCGAAACCCGAAGCTCCAATGCTCAACGTTTCAACACGTCCCTGTAGGCATCTGTAGGCACTGGAAGTCGAGGCTCTCTGTCTGGACGGTGACGGCCTCAGCCTCCTCATCCTGGAGCTCATGGCCCTGACGAGCATTGGCAAACTTACGGATTAGGTTCGGGGTGCAGGGTGCAGGATTCCGGGGGCGTTTATAAGGCTTCCGAGGGACTCTTCGTCCGATCCACACCTTGTCCGTTCCTATCTCATAACTCTCCGACTACGCCTTCCGACATCACCCCCACCAGCCGAAAACGCGCCTTGAAGGCTGCGGGGCTGTCAACATCATCCTGTGGCAGGTGTCAGATGTGAAACCGTAGACATGTACGTATGGACGTAGTTTGACAGCCCAGATTGCAAGATCGACGGATGGAGAGTGAACCGGTTGACAAACAGGTCGGGCAAATAGATTGGCTGGCTGGTTGGCAGGTAGGCAGGTGGCTTTTCATAAGTGACTCATCACCATGTACCCAGGGGCGGGGGAAAATGACGACTCTGTCACCGACGCTGCTCACCACCACCACGACTGGGACTTACAAACATGACCAAACTGCGTCTCCGCAGCCAACAGCTTCAAGTGCTTCCCGAAGTCACCGCTGTGGTCGCTGTCTGCACATCTCTGCGCTGTGGCCAGGCTGGTCTTCCCACATCTCATCGTTGCCTTCGCCATCGTCTTGTAGACATCTTCTCGGCGGTCTGCGTTCCCGAGCCGACCATCGCACATCTTGCGGCTCCGTGCCTGGCGGTCTTGGCTCCGTCTGCTGCACGTAGCTGTCCTTCCCAGCTCCTGAGGAGCTTCCCGAAGTTGCAACCAACTCATGTTGCGAAACCAGCTGGAGTTCCTCGCAGCGCACACGGAGACCACGCCTACTAAGCATAGTCGTCCGGGCAGTCCAGCCTTTGGCTGCCATGCTTCCTGGCAACAGACTGCGCGGAGTATCAGCCAAAAGGCCTGTCAACTCAGTGCACAGCAAAGTAACAGTTTCAGTGGCCTTTTACTCAAGTTCAGTACTTCTCCATTTCGAGGCCAACATCCGGCCGGCGCATTGGATTTTGACGCTGATTAACAAACAACCTCACGAAAACCTAACGGACAACCTGCCACGCAGCCTCACGACGACGACCACTATCACCACCTAACGGACAAACATCAAAATCTCACAGCGAGATCATCACATCATACCATCCAAACCACCTCCACAGAAACAAGCTTCGCCATGTTACTGACGTGATCTTCGCAACAGCGCACACACACACACACACTCAGGCTCAAGCATGTGAACTTCGGACACCCATACACAAACAGACAAACACAGAGTCAAGGCTCTGAAATGTCACTGTGCACAAACCCTGCCCTCCGCAACAACCACAATCATACTGCCCAAAATAACATGATCATGTTCGTCGAAGTCACCATCGTTGCAATCGTGGTTAACAACGTTGTCGTTCTGATAAATGTGATGAATGCAATCATTATGAGCATGACTACTATGGCAAAGATGATGCTAATATATGCTAATCAGCTGATCATCATGGCAGCAGCAGCAGCAGAAGCAGCAGCAGCAGTAGCAATATCATCATCAACATGACATTTACCCGAAGCATCATGATCTCCTTGTTCTTCTTCGCTGTCCTCACTGTCGTCAAAATATCAAAGCGATCCATCGTCGAGACCGTGACCGCTATCAGCATTCATGACATGCTGATGGCCGACGATGACGAAGATGACGACCATGAGGCTCGTTACCCATCATCGTCGCAACCACGAGAAACTGCTCACGACCATGAATGCAGTTAGCATATACCAATAACCAGTTACCGAGAGCTCTGAAACGCAGTTGAAGGTTTCGGGTTTAGGGCTTAGAACAGAAGGATGCGAAGTTGAGCACCTCCGGCGGACCCTCTCGCCGAGCAGACTCTGCCGAGTCCTCGAGCCACTTCTCTCGCTAAGGGCTGCTTAGGGCATTAGAACCGTCTGCTATCATGAGACTGCTGACTGGCATACTCATCGAAACCATGACCATACTGAGCACCACGATGATAATCAGCTACTCAGCATGTAGCTCGTGGCTGCCGCGCGCCAAGAATGGAATGATAATGATCATGGCAACAAAGACCGATGGAGACAAGGCTGGTAGTAACGACTGCCATGTAAACGACGAGCAACGAGGGAGCGTGTAGTGGTTCGTAACTCAGTAAAATAGAAGACATGGCATCAAGCGGCAACAAGCCGTGCTGATTGGCCAAGATTGCAATCGAAGCACTGAAAGAAAGAAACAAGATTGTAGTCCATAGGACTGACCACAATGCAACGTAATGAGGAGAAGACAAGCAAGTCGGAGCCCATTAGGCAACGCCTGGAGCTCTGCACTCAGCCCATGGCAATATGTTACGTCTTAGGTCGGTTAGGCTCTGCCACACGCAGACGCGGTAAAGTCCTCGATGCTGGCCAGCTGGTCTTCCTCTGACACGCGCCGGCCGAGCACCTTGGCGACTGCAGAAAAGGCCGAAAGACTTAGAGAACGCTGAGTGGCGTGTAGTTCAGGAATGACGCTCGTTGCCGGCGGGCCAGCCGTTGACGAGGTAGCATTCTGAGTATACATGATGGTGATGATGATGATGGTGGTGATGATGATGATTATGAGGATGGCGATGGCCATGACGGTGATGACGGTGCTGGTCCTGGTGCTGGTGCTGGTGACGACGGGCGACTGGAAGTGTGTGGAGATGCGTGGTAGTGCGTGGTGCTGCGTGGCGGTGCGTGCTGATCATTGCAAGAATCATGGCAGCGGCGGGGACGGTGGTAGGCGGCTATCTGTAATGTACTCTCTGCGTGTGTGTGTGTGTACGCTGGCCGGGGTTTAGGGTTCAGAGTCGAGGGTTGAAGTCTTCAGGTTTATGGTCTAGGTGGTTGGGAGCCTGCATTTCGTCCACCTTGCTTTGAGTTTGATCGTTGCTTCGCTCTTGCGTTCCTGCATTCGGTTCCTCTAACACTCCAACAAAAGAGGTGCGAGGGAACCTGCGATGGCGAGGGTCATGGTGATGGGGAAGGCGATCTGAAGATGGTGCTGATGGTGATCTCGGGAATGGTGTGGGAAGTGGTGATGGTGAGGATGTCGATCCTCATGTACGCGATCGGCAACGTCCGGCCAGAGCCCGGATTGATTTCAGGCTCCTGGGAATGGCCTAATGACCTCACAGCCTCGAAGGATTTCCGCAGGTTGTTGAAATCAAGAAGCCGTGGCCAGCAGCAGGACGAGGGTTACAAGTCGCAGAGCCATCGCCGTCGCCTCAGGTATGCTTCCGGTCTCAGAGTACATCTTGCAGGTTCGGATTGCCGGAGTAAGCTGCCGAGGAATTGATACACAAGGTAACTGCTGTGCATGTTACTTGGGGTGTTTTGACAGCGACCCACACAAACCTATCGGACATCAGGACTGTTTGTGCGCTCTCCTCTTGCAGACCGGTTCTCCTGAGCACCCTAGAAGGGGGAAGAGAGTGGACGATAAACATCAACATACAGCCCAGATCGCACCCCCAAGGGCCAAAGCTTGCAGTGAAGCAAAGTTTCGAAGTTCCGGCATTGCCCTGAAGTGCATCGAAGCCACGAGCTCGCGAGCCGGGCTACAAAATGTGGAGTAGTCAGAGCAACGTGACTTGGTTGGTGGCTGCACGGAACAGCCAGCGGCTGCGGTCCGGACCGGCAACTCTCCCATGTAACCGAATGTAGTCCTGATCCGCCAAATAGGGAACTAGGATCTGCAGACGCAAATTCACTTGGCCAACTCAAGAACGTAGTGCAGTGCGCAAAGCTCTCATGACCCCGGTTTCGTCAAGAAGCACGTTGGCCAAAGCTGAGCGCAGGGTCGCGCATCAGTTCCCGAACCATCACAGAACAACCGGTTAAACATGCGGCTGAGATGGTCTGCTGCAACCCGCAAACCCAGCATATCCCAGCATGCAGCCTTGGCCATTTGGGAAAGTGTTTTGTCACATGCGGGCACCAGCTTGTCGAAAGCGCCGCTCAATCGGTGGCAGATAGTGCGATTGAGAAGCCAACCTCCAGCTTTGCTCATGCAGTGACCCCTCTGGTGCCGGGACATGCTGGGACGACACACCAGCGACATTTTTAGGTTCTAGTGAAGTGGTATGCTGCAGCTTATCAGAAAACTGGCATAAACATCTTCGAGCCACTAAAGTAACTTCACCATCGTTTTTGAAGGTTAGGATCTGGCGTCCATCCGACGTTGAGATGTCGCAGCCTTTGAACATCGGAGATTCCCTAGCCGCCCTAGCCACCAGCAGCACACCCGAGGACTGCCCAAGCTCATTTGGATTACCAACCCACCAAGTTCAACATCCCGATGCCTGAATCCAAGGGCATGCCTCCACCTCCTACGCCAGTGGCTCCAAACTGTTGGGCTCTCCAGCGGCACCATCAGCTCCGCCTCCTTTGCCGCCTTTGAATTGGAATTGCTGTCGAAATTGCTTCCTTTATTTATGCCTCCACCGGTGATTCCGCCAACATTTGCCAGTGATGGTGCTACGCTCACCGAATCCACCGTTTCTTCCTCCGCCACCTCCTCTATGATGTGGCGCCTCCTCTTTCTGTGCTTTATTTCGATCCTTCAAGAAACATAAAACTCGTGCTGCCTCCTGAAGCCGTGTTTTTTCAGTCTCCACCCTTGCCCCCACCAGTAGAGATCAAACTGTCGAGCTTTGAGTCCGGCCCTGCTCGTGCGGCTTGCCTCCGTCTCTCGCAGTGACCTTGTCTCTTAATCCTTCCTGACTATTGCAACACCTTGCATCACCTCGCCACGACCTCCATTGGCTCCGCCACCACGACCCACGAGCAAGAACCGAAGTTGCAGATGATCAGCAGTCTAGGCGAACAAACAGAGGGAAGCGCAAAAAACCTTAATGTCACCCTTAACGATCAGCCTCTATGCTCGAGTTGCTGAAATGGCTAAGTCACAACACGCGCATCGAGACTAGCAGTGTTGCAACGGTGGGGAGCCTGAGCTGTGTCTTCCCCTTTCACTCGTCTGCCGCTATCAATCTTCTACCTTTTCGGCTTGCAGGCATTTCGGCTTGCAGGCATCCGCGTGGGAACCACGCTGATCTCTGGACTGCTGACTCGTTGTGCTCGAACCGCGGACAACTAGAAGCCTGTTGATCAACTGGAGATGGCTAGCTCGCTGCACACGTTAACTAACTCTACTGTGCACCCAAGGACCACTAAACATCAATCATGTTCATAAGTTCAGATGTCTTCAGCATTAAAGCCTTAGCTCTGAGGATTTTATGACCCTGAATATATTTGCAGCAGTATTGTCCGCGTGCACGTTGTGACTACCAGTACCATGCCAGGTTTTCCACTGTGGTCTTCGACATATACCTGAGCCATGCCAGTTCTTTGGCGTAAAAGCATGTCGTTGCTACGGTTGCTGCCGCCCGGAATCGGAAGGTTGACTAATCTAAACAACAAGCTAGCACATTCAATATACGTTATCATAATCTGCAAACTTGCGAAGTCAAAGCCAATAACATCAGCTACCGCTAAATGCTTCATGCCCTGTGCCCTGGCATGGCGACTGCAATATGTCATGCAAGAAGCGGCGTCGTGGCCGGTGAAGCCCGGCCACGATGCCACGACGTACGTCCACTCCTCATCTACCGCTGAATCGGACCCGAGTTTGTACTTTTCAGCCTGTAGATGCAGCTCGCATTTCACCAGGACCGTGCCTAGACCTTGAGATGCTACTCCGAAGATGATGCGGTCATCGAGGATTTTTTGGAAACAGTTGAGAGGTGTTACCGCACAGCTGGAGCACTTCGGCCCAAGCTGGCCGGTCCACAAAATCGAAGATGCAAAACAATGCAAAACGAGCTTGGCACTTGTACAAACGACCTGCACTCCTGTGAGTGCGCGTGTCCATGCCGACCGGGCTTGCAGTGTCGCCACCATCTACTGGTAACAGCACAGCACTACGCTTCAACATATGGCATGTGTGCACTAAGTCACTAGGCAGGTACAATCCCGGTCGCGCCTTGGCAGTTATCATCGTGGTTCTGAGCAGACGATTCTCGTGCTGGTCTCGTCACTTGGTCGATGTCGGTGAAACAACTTCAAGCTCGTATGCAGAAAACACAAGTTGCCAATAGGCACCTTGCACTCGTAGGTGCACAGCGGCCCATAGCAGCACAGGGACTGCGGCATCTGCATGAACTTACCCATTGTTGCTTTCAAACGCTACAACAACACCTCCTATGTGCGAAGACTACTCCAAGGTGTGCGAGCAGCTCGAGGCATTCAGGGTGGGCTGCTTCAAAACTGGGGTGTCGAACTGTGGCATTGTTTGATTTTCGATTCCACAGATACAGGCTACTGCCTCATAGACTATACATAGCAACATGCGCCGGAACGTCAAACTCCTGTAGTAGAATCGCTGGGAAGTCTAATACAACGTCTGTCCATAGCAGCCATAGCAGTTGGAGCCTAGATCTCGGTGTATACAATACAACATCCCCTCAGGCAAAACAATCTATAAGACAGTATCATAGCTGAGCGTAAAAAAGGGGTGATTTAATCTCACCGAGACTGCCATGGCAGACATGTAAAGCAGGTATGACACAAACTGATGTAGCAGGGCGTGATCATCTAGACTCTTACGACCAGGAGGAGATGAAACAGCTCAAACTTCATTAAACTCCAGGAAACCTGGCACATTCTCCCAGAAGGATGCCGATGCAGCCACCAGACCCCGCCAAATCGGGCACCCGCTCATGGAGTGCTCCACTGCACCACCTCGGATGTCGGGGTCCACTGTGTTTGGGCCTTGACGTGTTGTTGAGGGCAGGCAGGGCTCTGGGCGCCGAAACACTAAGCCCATCTAAGCCCCCAAAGTCAAAGCCCGCACACAAGAGGCAAGGCCTCACAACAGCAATCAGAACCGCAATAAGTTTAGAGGAATGCTGCCTTCCAGCCTCTTGCTGATATGCGCTTGCACTACCCGAAGAGCTTGCCCCACTAGTGCGTCTTTCCATGCATCATATCTACCACATCATGCTAGACTGTAATACAGAAATAAGCTCCCGACAAACATGCAGAATGCAGAATGCAATGCCAAATTGGCTAGGTTAGCAATGCCAGCTGGCACATCGTGCACCACATGCGAGAAAACAAGTTCCCCGAGTGGATTACATTAAGAGGCCGCCGAAGCACACACTGTTTACTAGGAAATAAGCCTAGCAGAAGATCGAGTTGAGTTGAGGGCCCGTTCAGAGCTCTTAAAGCTCAGTCGTTACAAAAATTCCCCCTCGTAAATCCTGCAACCAACAAGCTCGTGCGTTTCTACCACGTTTTACTCGGTGTTACTGCCAGGTCTGTTTCCCGCGTTCGGGTTGAAAGATTCACATCGATGATTGGATCTGGTTTGCAGCAGCTCGCTGAGACTTCAGGCGCTCAGGCGGCAGCTGATGGGTGCTCAATTCATGAAGGCAGCAGCCAGCAGCACCAGGACGGAGAAGCTGACAGACCGTTCCGAAACAGGTGCAGTTGTGGCTATTCTTGGGGACCATGAGACGAGCACGGGAAGGACCAGGATGAGGTTGGGGATGAGGACCGGATAGCTTCTACTTTATCAGCCAAGAAAGATGCACCACCACCACACCACCACGACCACGACCACAACTACTCGCACACCCACATACGCAACGACAACCGCAACCGTTTAACGGCAACCGCAAAAACAACAACCACCAGCACTACAACCACCACAACCGAAACAACATCGACCACAAGCACACCTACGGACCTACTCATCTGAAACGAAATTGCCGGGCCGGACTGGAAAGGGGATCGGAGAATCCACATTTGTTGAATGGTTGAGTGGCATACTTGTAAGATTCTCTCTCAGCAAAGC